CCCCCCCCCCCCCCATTTTCCCTCTTAGATTTCTTTATTCAGATGAAGTTCAGATTGGGCCAGAGACGGTGATGACGACTCTTTACACTGCAAAAAAATACGCAGTCCCTGCCCTCGAGGCTCACTGTGTGGAGTTTCTGAAGAAAAATCTCAGAGCAGACAATGCTTTCATGCTTTTAACCCAGGTATATTTGAAATTCTTTGCCTAGGGACTCGCCACTTCCATTGAAAAGTTCCTGGCATGAGATAAGGAAGGTGCTGACACTGACTGACAGGTAGTCCTCAACTTACGACCATTTTTTAAAACAACTTTTTGAAGTTATATCGCCGAAAAAAGTGACAACCAGTCCTTGCACTTATCAGTGCCACTGTATCCCCGTGGTCACATAATCAAAATCTGAGCACCTGCCAACTGGCACATGGTTATGAATTTGCAGCATCTTGGGATCGTGTGATAGCCATTTGTGACTTTCCCAGGGGACTTCTGAGAAACCAAGTCAATGGGGAAGCCAACAACAGCAAAAAGATTGCAAAATTGGGCGTGATTCATTTAACAATTGCACCATTAAACGACAGAAGTTCCAGACCTAATTGTGGTCATAAGTTGAGGATTACTTTTAATTGCCCGCCTTCGCTGATCAAGTCTCTGCAAAGCTGAGATGGATCCTTATGACCTTCCATAGTACACCCTGGTGATTTTCCTGGCTTATGTTAAAAACTGGATAGAAAACAAACAGGACTGGTCTTGTTGCTCAGTGGAGTACACGTGGAGCCACCGTGTGTATTCAAGTGAAAGGACTTTTTCTGGTGTTGTTTACAAACCATGGAATGCAGTCCAGGCAGAATTAAAATTGAGCCTAGGAAGGGGCCTATTCTGTCTTATTTGGTTTTCTAGATTGATTCCTATGGTTTTAACATTTAAATATGGATTTATGTGTTTGTTTTTATGATTTTTCCCCCTTTGATTTGTTGCACACGGTCTTGGTAACATTTGTCATCCTAAGGTATATAGATGGCTGAAATAATATTTGCAAACCACAGCAAATATATTTGCAAACCACAGACCAAGTGGTGAAGTTCTTAAGGAAATTGTAGCTCGCCTGGTTTGGATGCCATGACAACACCAGATCCAATGTAACCCAATACCAAATGCATAAACTATGAGGCATAGTCATCACTTCATCTGTAGATATGTATTTGTATGACATTTTTATTCCATCCTTCTGTGCCTACAGAGCATTTATTGGTATGAAATCTTCACCCTCCTACAAATTAGGGAATGGAATGGGGTAAAAAGTCCTGAAGTTAACATGCTCCTTCATTTACTGATTGTTGGCTGGTTCTTAGGCAAGACTCTTCGATGAGCCCCAGTTGGCCAGCCTTTGCCTGGAAAACATAGATAAAAATACTTCAGATGCGATCAATGCAGAAGGCTTCACGGATATTGACCTGGGTAAGCTTTTCTCAGAACTAAAAGATATTCCAACAGTTTGTGCTAGTTTTCTTTTGCTTGGGTGCTTCTTCTGTACCCTGAGGTGACAAAATTGACAGAGGTGTCCTTCTATGTCAGTGGTGGCGAACCTATGGCACGGGTGCCCGAGGCGGCACTCAGAGCCCCTTCTGTGGGCGCGCGCGCCGTCGCCCCAATCCTAGGCCTTCAGCTGGGTTTTATAAAACCTTTTCGCTTTAGGCCTCCGCCGCTGTGTGCAAAAAAAAAAAAGGTTCAATCAATCAGTCAATTTCAACTTCTCGCGGGAAAAAGAAAGATCTTGCAAAGTTGGAATTGATTGATTGAACTTTTTAGTCCCACCCAGTCTGCTGTTACCACCGCAGCCACGCCCACCCAATTGGCCACACCCACCCGGCACCCGACGATGCATAAGTGGGTTTTGGGTTACAGTTTGGGCACTCAGTCTCTAAAAGGTTCGCCATCACTGTTCTCTGTGTTTCTCAAGGTATACCTAGCTGTAAGATAAGCAGTTTAAATTGGGCCTGTTAAAACCTCCATTTAGGCTTTTGTCCCTGCCACTGGCAAGTAAAATTAGAATAGATGCAAAACTGTTAACCTGTTTAGTTTGTCTTCTTTATACAGGTTGCAAATGTCAGTTGTATTTCTAGTGCAGTTTATTTCTTTAAATCACGTTATTCTGCTCTTCAGTTTTAGACTTGTTCACAGTTATCTGTACAATTACAAGAAAGAGAGATAGCTCTTTTCCACAAGCTTTAAAACTTGGTTCAAGAAGTGAGAGGGACAGATAGACAAAAGGTGGAAGAAGAAAACAAGGACATTCAGGTCCCAGTCCTTAAAGTTGTTATATCCAAGTGAGAAGCTTGAATGTTTACAATTTAGGTGCAGCCTCCTGTTTCAATCTCAGGAAAGGAAGAAAGTTTTTCTGCTGTGGGTTTTATGCAAAGTCTTTTTTAAAAATAGAATAGAATACTTTATTGGCCAAACATGATTAGACACCTAAGGAATTTGTCTCTGGTGCATAAGCTCTCAGTGTACATGCAAAACAACAAAGTAATTACAATCACAAAGGATAATAATCATAATAAAGCTGTGGAGTTCAGCAGAACCTTCCCTTGGATGAAACCTAAGGGATTCTGAGTAGAGATACAGCATCAATCTGTGAAATAGAGGCAAATATTATCCCTTGTGTGACTGAATATTTTTCCACACCTAATAGCTTAAGAAAAAATGCTATCCATGGAAAATTGACCTGTCTAGAAAAGTTCTGTTTAGCCTGACTTGTGAAACATAAGTATCTTTGTAGAGCAGGAGTGTCAAACTCAATTTCATTGAGGGCAGCATCAGCATTGCGGTGGCCCTTGGGGGGCCGGGTGGGTGTGGCCAGGGTGGGTGTGGCCTACTGGGTGGGCATGGTCAGCTCTACATCGTTCGCGTCAAGGGTGCCTGTGGGGGTCTGGGCAGGAGTGGGACAGATCTGAGGGTCTCTGGCAGAAAGGGGTGGGACCGGGGCAAGCGCCAAGGCATGGTCCATTTCTTCATTCCTCACAAAGGATGACACCTCCCCAGCATGCACCCAGGGGGCAGGGCCGACGCAGCAGGGGCTGGTTCCTCGCTGTTTCCAGACGGCCTTGTGGAGCTAAGACTGAATGCGTTTCAGCATAGATGGCCACCACAAAATTGTACATTGGCTCCCGGCCGACCTGGGCCAGGGCCAAGGCAGCGGGGGCCGTTCCCTCACTGTTTCCAGGATGGCTTCTCGGGCCACATGAAACCACTTCGCGGGCCACATCTGGCCCCCGGGCCTTGTGTTTGACATGTCTGTTGTAGAGGGATTTTTAAAAAATTTCTGTGTAGTGGGGCATATAATCACGTGAGTCCTTTTGAGCGGCATTTGTACATTGACCAAGTCAGTCTCAACATCCCTCCCCATGCTTTTTCGTCAAGTGATGGACAAAGAGGGAGTTTTGTCCTAGCTGTTCATGATGTTACAGAATGCATTGTCTTGCTATGTGAAAAGCTGCCTGCAAAAAAAGCTAGATTTCTGGGGTCAAATTCTCCCAAGCTCTGTAGGAACAACAGGGAGCAAGCAGCTTCTGGAAGGAAGATAACAGTTGTAGCAACTTGCTATCCTTGTCTCTGTGTGATTGATGTGAATTGCCTCCTTCCCCCTCTTGCCAGTTTGTCGTCTGGAAAGTTGATTTGCAAATAGTTGGAAGGATTCTGCTTCTCTGGGAGACAGCCTACCTCTCGCTCTCTAGCTTCCATCCACTAGGGGGGACAGGATAGCAGTGTTCCAATATTTAAGGGGCTGCCACAAAGAAGAATGGGGTCAACCCTGTTCTCCAAAGCACCTGCAGGCAGAACAAGAAGCAACGGATGGAAACCAATCAAGGAGAGAACCAACCTAAAACTAAGGAGAAACTTCCTGATCGTGAGAACCATTAATCAGTGGAACAACTTCACAAACAAATGGGTCCTTCAATCTCTTCTTAAAAACCTCCAATGATGGAGCACCCAACAACTTCACAGAAGTTATGGGTGCTCCATCACTGGAGGTTTTTAAGAAGAGATTGAACGACCACTTGTCTGAAATGGTATAGGTTTTCCTGCTGGAGCAAGGGGTTGGAGTAGAAGACCTCCAAAGTCCCTGTCAACTCTGTTATTCTGTTATCTTCGAATTGCCTTGGATTCTGCTTGTGATTTTCCTCCAGGCTTCCACTGGCCAATGTGCTGCGCTCTATCCTGGCTCTCCTGTAGGTGTGTTCTTCTAGAACAGGGGTGTCAAAACTCAATTTCACAGAGTGGGTGCAGCCTACTGGGTGGGCATGTATGGAGTGGGTGTGGCCTACTGGGTGGGCATGGCCAGTTCTACATCATTTGCGTCAAGGGTGCCTGTGGGGGCCTGGGCAGGAGTGGGACAGACTGAGGGTCTCTGGCAGAAGGGGGTTGGACCAGGGCAAGTGCCAAGGCATGGTCCACCCGGGCAAGTGCCAAGATGGCCACCACAAAATTGTACATTGGCTCCCGGCCGGCCTGGGCCAGGGCCAAGGCAGCGGGGGCCGTTCCCTCACCGTTTCCAGGATGGCTTCGTGGGCCACATGAAACCACTTGGTGGGCCGCATCCGGCCCCCGCGCCTTGTGTTTGGCATGTCTATTCTAGAAGATGCACTAAGCTCAAGTGAGGTCTGGCAGGACTGATTCTCCAGGGTTCTCCATATAATGGAGATTTAGAGTACTTCCTGAACTGGTAGTTCAGTCTATTAAGTTCTTGAAGCAAGGAGATTTTCAATACTGGCTGATTTCAATAGAGAGTGAAAGCATCCCCTTCCCCCCAACGTTTATCCTTATCCCAAAATAGCTTTGAGTGATGAATCTTGCTGGTAGTGACCCTCTCTCTGTCTGATAGACACCTTGGTCGCGGTTTTGGAGCGAGACAGCCTCGGCATCCGGGAAGTGCGCCTCTTCAACGCAGTGGTCAGGTGGGCAGAGGCTGAGTGCCAGCGACAACAGTGGCAGCTGATACCAGAGAACAAGCGGAAAGCTTTGGGCAAAGCTCTTTCCCTCATTCGCTTCCCCTTGATGACAATCGAGGAATTTGCTGCAGGTATTTGGGGGACCGTTTCTCAAAAGCTGGGGGTGTGTGTGTGTTTTAACTCTGCAAAGATCCAGTGGTTTTTAACAGCTTTGTGCTAGTAGGGATATTGATGTATCCGAAAATATTTCTGCGTCATTTTGATTTTGATTCCCGGTCCTCGCCTGTTGTTTACAGACCCCAAAAATAATAATAACGGCAGTTTAGATTGCAGGGCAGTCTGTCTGTCCTGCTTAACAACACCAGATATTCCTATTTGCTTCTAATAGGGCCTGTTTGCATCTTGCACTAGACCACGGGTTGGAAACCCGCGGCTCTGGAGCCGGATGTAGCTCTTTGAGCCTTCTCCTTTAGCTCCCATCTTCTTCCTTCGCCATTTGCAGAGACAGAGAGAGGCACTTGCGCTTCCCTTCTCTCTCTCTCTCTCTCTCTCTCTCTCTCTCTCTCTCTCTCTCTCTCTCTCTCTCTCTCTCTCTCTCTCTCTCTCTCTCTCACACACACACACACACACACACACACACACACACACACTGAGTGGGGGAAGAGGACTGGCAGACCAAGGGCAGGAGAGAGCCAGCCCAATAAGAATGTGTGTCAGCTTGTCCGAGAACAGCGTGAAGCCCGCTTGCCAGGTGAACAGAAGATCGGAGAAAGAGGGAGAGGAAAAAGAGGGGGAGGGAGAGTGCCTGGCTGAGGAATTCTGGGAGTTGAAGTCCACAAATCATAAAAGGGCCAAGTTTGAAGACCCCTGTTCTAAACAGAGAGCTGATTTCTGGGAGGAAAATCAGGAAACAAATGTATCTTAGGTGTTCCGCTTTCTCCAGGACCAGCTCAGTCGGGGATCCTCACTGACCGCGAGGTGGTTAGCCTGTTCCTTCATTTCACGGTCAACCCCAAGCCACGGGTGGAGTTCATCGACCGCCCTCGCTGCTGCCTGAGAGGGAAAGAGTGCAGCATCAACCGTTTCCAGCAGGTGGAAAGCCGCTGGGGATACAGCGGGACCAGTGACCGGATCAGGTATTCTTATTGACCAAGCGCTGAAAACGTCATCTTTCGTATATTTATTCATCACACAAAAATCACAAATTCAAATGAGCCAAATTTAGAAAAATTAAAATGCGACAGGGACGATTGACACGTTAGTGCACTTATGCACGCCCCCTTCGGAACCTCTTAAATACGGGGTGAGGTTCCCAGAAGTTAAGTTAGAATTAAAATTATGAAAGTTAGTAGCTGAGACAACTGAATCGGATAAAATATTTCAGATTTTGACAACTCGGTTACAGAAATAAAATGGTCTGCAATCGAGTTTAAAACTGTGTACATTAGTTCAAAGTGGTTGTTTGCACGTTATGATTAAAACTAAAAATGTCATTTGCAAGTAAAACGTTACTATGTGCCATGTTGTATGTAATACGTAAATCTGACTGCAAGTGTTGCAGTTCTAAACTCTCCAAACTTAAGAATTTCAAGCTATCACTGGGTTCCCAGGTGGGGAAGTTTTGTGGTTCATTGAATTGCCTTGGGAAATTTTGGAAGAACTTCTAATTACCCCAGTCTGGTGAAATGATTAGCAGCATCCTGTCATCTAAAGCAGGGCTTTTCAACCAGTGGTACAGGTACCACCTGGGGTACATTGGCACCTGACAGGTGGTACGCGACCATCCTAGAAAAATGGTAGCTGGGGAGGGGAATGAGCTGAACTGGTGGCAGCACCGCACAAGCCTGAGCGAGAGATGGCTGGAGCTGCAGGGCTGTCAGGGCTCAGCGGAAGCGGCAGGATCAGCGCTTCTTCGGGGCTGTCAGGACTCAGTGGAAGCGCCAGGATCAGCGCCAGGCTCCAGCTGGACCTCGGCGCTGATCCTGGTGCTTCTGCTGAGCCTAGAAGAAGCGCCGATCAGCTGGAATGTTGCAGCATCTCCAGGGTCTTGTGATTTACATTTAGATGCTTGGCAACTGATTCATATTTATGACGGTTACAGTGTCCCAGGGTCATGTGAAGTGACCAAAACCTGCTGCAACCACCCAGCAGACGGGGGGAATAAAAACCAAACACCTCCCCCACCCCACCCCCGCTGCCAATCTTCAACAGAAATGCTCACAACAATGAAAACCTCGGACAGGAGGAAGAGCGCCGCCGGGTGGGCAGGCAGGTGTCTTGCTCGGCACTTTTTTCAATGCCATTGTAACTTAGAACAGCCACTAAGCGAACTGTTGTAAGTCGAGGACTACTAGTACTTCGTCACTTTTTTCCTTTTTTTTTTTTTTTTTGGTCATCAAGTTTTTGACACCTTGCTAGGCGACTGGTGGTACTCGGATATAGCCATATCTAAAAGTGATACAATGGGTGAAAAGGTTGAAAAGCCCTGTGCTAAAACAGATATGGCTATCTGAATTACATTCATCAACAGAGTAGCAAGTATCAGTGCCCCTGCTGAGTGGAAGGAAGGGAGGAAAGAAGCCTTGGGAAGAATGTCCATGTTTTTCTTTCGAGTGGCGTGCTCAAAAAGTAGGTGGGGCCAGGATAAGAGGGGGCACAAACCAGGAGAAAAATAATTAAACTTAAAAAAATAATTTTGAACCGTCTGTAGTTTGAGCAATGAAATATAACCCTGGGAATGTCATTGTGGGACCGAAGGCAGACAAATGAAGTTCAGATGATAGACCCCCAATATGGGACATGGCTAAGAAGAGGAGAAATATTGATTCATAGGCAGGGTCAGGTATGCCCTCACCTGAATCACCTTGCTGTCTTCCATACAATTAATGTCCCATCTGTATCCCAGTTAATGTCCCATCTATACCAAGGATGTCCAACCTTGGCAACCGTAAGACTTGTAGACTTCAACTCCCAGAATGCCCAATCTGGATGGGGAATTCTGGGAGTTGACGTTCTGAAGTCTTAAAAGTTGCCAAGTTTGGACACCCCTTTTTCTATATTATACTTGGTGTGAGAGTTTAAACTGGGACACGTGTCCCGCCAAGCAGCCCATGATACGTTGATCTTTACTCCGGTAACAATAAATGGATCAATAAATACCAGCAGATCACATAGTCTGCTGTTTGCCTTGCAGTCTTAACAGCCTGAAATTGAGGCTAATTAAGTTTACTCATCTTTACTTCATATACTGGAGTAAAAGAAAGCCTTCCTTTAGGTCCTTCTGGGAACAAAACAAACGGTAATCAGATGCGTAAAGTAACAAGCATCTGACACCACTTCAAAGGTTTGTTCCCTTTTGAGTTTCCATCCCATTCATTTTTATTTGAAACGATGGCATGCAGATCAGGATTGGGGGCTATTGCTGACTTGCTGGGTTACTTTCAAATCTCAGGATTTGGAAATTTTGGGCATTCAAAATAAGAGAGCTGTCTCCCAGAGGACAAAGAAGAAAGAAGGGAAAAACTTTATAATAGGAGTTAGCCTCTTTTCTTTCACATTGATTTGGTCTATTTTTTTGTTTGTTTGTTTGTGTGAACTCTGTAGGTTCTCTGTCAACAAGCGGATATTTATAGTTGGATTTGGGTTGTATGGCTCGATCCACGGCCCCACAGATTACCAAGTAAATATACAGGTAGATAACTTTCTGGATTTGATTTGCATGAATGGGCTGTGAAGCAACTCGAGTAAATGTACAGGTACATCATTTTTTCTAGATCAGTGATGGCAAACCTTTTGGGCTCCCCATGTCAAAAAAAATTGGAAAATGTGTTACTTGACTCTGTTGGTGTGTCACATACCCAAACAAAAGTGGAACAATGTATTCATATATATATAAACCCACTTGGAATACTGTATCCAGTTTTGGTCGCCATGATGTAAAAAAGATGCTGAGGCTCTAGAAAGAGTACAGAGAAGAGCAACAAAGATGATTAGGGGACTGGAGGCTAAAGCATATAAGGAACGGCTGCTGGAATTGGGTATGTCTAGTTTAATGAAGAGAAGGACGAGGGGGGACATGATAGCAGCCTTCCAATATCTCAGGGGCTGCCACAGAGAAGAGGGAGTCAAGCTATTCTCCAAAGCGCCTGAAGGCAGGACAAGAAGCAACGGATGGAAACTAATCAAGGAGAGAAGCAACCTAGAACTAAGGAAAAATTTCCTGACAGTTAGAACAATTAATTAGTGGAACAACTTGCTTGTTGTAGATGCTTCAACTGGAGGTTTTTAAGAAGAGATTGGACAACCATTTGTCTGAAATGGTATAGGGCTTCCTGAGCAAGAGCTTAGTCTAGAACACGGGTCCCCAACCCCCGGTCCATGGACTGGTACCGGGCCGCGGCATGCCAGCAACCGGTCTGCACAAACAAGCAAAGCCCTACCCATGGGATGCAGGCAGCACACAAAACCACGCACTCTCCGGTCCGTGGAAAAACCTTTCTCCACGGAACTGATCCCTGGTGCCCAAAAGATTGGGGACCTCTGGTCTAGAAGACCTCCAAGGTCCCTTCCAGTTCTGTTAATCTGTATGTGACCCCCAGGAAAAGCACGCCCATTTTCATGCGGCCTTCCCAGCCTCTGAAAATCATGCAAGAACGGGGCATGCTTTTGAAAATAGCTGTGAATGGGTGTTGGTGAACGTTGGTATGCCGTCCAAAATGTTGTGGTGTGTCAACTTTGACCCAGGTGTCATAGGTTCACCATCACTGCCCCAGACCTTGTTTTCAGAAAGGAACATTGCTGTTGTTTCTATAAACAAAGCTATGACTTCTTCCATTCATGTATATTAGAAATTTAAAAAACTATATGTCCCCCCCCCCCAAAAAAAAATCATAATTACATTTTCCATATCCTGTCTCTTTTCCTTCCACCTTTTCAGATAATTCACACAGACAGTAACACCGTCCTGGGCCAAAACGACACTGGATTTAGCTGCGATGGATCCTCCAATACTTTCCGGGTGATGTTTAAGGAGCCTGTGGAGATCCTGCCCACTGTCAGCTACACAGCCTGTGCAACGCTGAAGGTGCTCAGAGTCTCGAAAGAGGGAATATCCTTGAAAGAGCAACTCTAGAGCTTTTTCTGAATTTGCTTTGCTTGGTGGGGAGAAAGCAAGGGAACAGCTCAGGAGGCTGATTTTAAGATCTGCTAGTTCAGTGATGGCGAACCTTTTAGAGACAGAGTGCCCAAACTGCAACCCAAAACCCACTTATGCATTGTCGAGTGCCGGGTGGGTGTGGCCCATTGGGTGGGCGTGGCCCATTGGGTGGGCGTGGCTGCGGTGGTAACGGTAGACTGGGTGGGACTAAAAAGTTCAATCAATCAATTCCAACTTTGCAAGATCTTATTTTTTCCGCGAGAAGTTGAAATTGACTGATTGAACTTTTTTTTTTTGCACACGGCAGCGGAGGTCTAAAGCGAAAAGGTTTTATAAAACCCAACTGAAGGCCTAGGACTGGGGTGATGGCGCGCGTGCCCACAGAGAGGGCTCTGAGTGCCGCCTCTGGCACCTGTGCCATAGGTTCGCCACCACTGTGCTAGTTATTTGTGCCCTGTTTGTAGTCCTGAATCTCCTTGGGTGGGCCCTTCATGATGGTGATAGAGTGGAAGCAGAGAACCTGGGTGATTGGTTATTCTTGTAAGGCACAGGTAGCCCTTGACTTACAACCATGTGTTTCGTGACCGTTCGAACAATGGCACTGAAAAAAGTGACTTACGACCATTTTTCACACTTAGGGCCGTGGCAGAATCCCTGTGGCCACGTGGTCAAAATTCAGATGCTTGGCAACTGGCTCATATTTATGATGCTTACAGTGTCCCGGAAGGTCACCTTTTGCGACCTTCTGATAAGTCAATGGTGAAGCCGGATTCTCTTTACCATTGTATTACTCACTTACCAACTGCAATGATTCATTTAACATCTGTGACAAGAAAGGTCATACGTTGCGCCGAAGCACACGTAACTGTCTTGCTCAGCAACAGAAAGGTTGGGCTCAATTGTGGTTGTAAGTCAAAGACTGCTCCCTGGGGTGGGGTATCTTGGATTCCTGAGAGGAAAGGCAGAAATGCAATCATTAAAAATAAACCACTGGCTGTGTACGCTTTGGTGGGGTGCTCAGCATTCAGGCCCGCTGCCGTCCCTAGGAGTCCAGGGGGTGGTCCATGCCCCTCAGCAGAACAGCCTCGCGACTCAAGGAATGGCCTTCTCACAACTTTGTTTTTCAATGGTTCGTAATACAGGGACCCGACTCTCACTATGGAACCAAAGGATTGCGGAAGGTGGTCCACGAGTCACCAACCACAGGGACAAAGACCTGTTTTACTTTCTGTTACGCTGCCGGCAACAACAACGGCACCTCGGTGGAAGATGGACAGATCCCAGAGATCATCTTCTACACATAGCAGGTGCTGCTGGAAATTGGCCGTCGGACAGGCTTGGCGCTCCCCTCCCGCCCCCTCCGCCTGAGGCCGCCAGCTTGTCCTGCCGCAGTGATCGGACGGGCTCCCGCCAGCAGACTCAGACTGGGCAAGCATTCCCAGGTTGCACGTGCTCTACATCCAGATGCATGTCGGCCTCGCTGGACTGAGGCTGGCAATCTCTTCTGTTTGTGTTTGGCAACCTGGCTGGATGATTTCCTTGCAATGAATGTAGCTGCTTTTACATCTAGTCATTCTCATGGAGGAAACTCACTCTCATAAGAAGTGACACCCCCCACCACCACCAAAGAGATTCCCCCCTCCCCACATTTCTGGCAGGCAGGAGGCTAGCATAGTCTGGGTGGCAAAGGTGGCTTAGATGGTGATATATATATCAGCGAAGTGGTAGGTCTTTGTTCACATTCCCCTTGCCCCCCTCCCAGTTGTCTAGTAAGACAAATGACTTATTCTCTTTGGGGTAATTGTGTGTGTACACAGCCTGAAGGTGGGGGTGAGCCTCTTGCATGGCAAGCAGCATTTCAAGACAATCCTTGACTTTTGAGAGAATAGCAGAGCTAAACAAAAGGCCAATCAGCTGACCTTCCAGTGCAGGGTTTCTCAAACGTGGCCCTTTTCAGAGTTTTGGACTTCAGCTTCCAGAATTCCCCAGCCAGCTGTTCCTGTGCTGTGTTTGCTGGCTTTCAAGGGAAAGTAAAGTGTGAATTTACTTTACTGACCTGATGTGACCCGATATGTCAGATTGGGACCCCGATCATATCCAGATGATAAAGGCAGCCCTGCTTGGTGAGGATGATGCAGATTTATTGGGAGGCTGCTATATTTGGAGGGTGATATTGGGAAAGGCTGCCTTAAGATTACTTTAGACAACTTTTCCTACTCGCTTGAGGTTGCTGAAGAGTCAGCAGCAGATTGTGGCTCTCCATTTGGAACAGCCTTGGCCAAGAGGCAGTTTGCAACCACGTGTACTTGAGCATTGTAATTAAGAGAAGCATCTAAATTTCTGGCCTTTTTGTCCTTCGGAAAGTTTCTTCTGCTGCTAATATAGTGCAACTTAACAATGCATTTTGATTCTTGTTACCCTAGTGACAGGCTGGTGCTGTGGTTAGTTTGTGTTTGTATGCGTGTGTGTATTTCCCCCTTAAACAGGGAGAGAACGCCCTGGGTCTTAAAGCCATTTTTTGCAGAAATCTAATTCAGAGAGAGAGAGATTTCAGGATTTTTTTCAGGAGGAAAAATGCCTTTTTACGTTCACGAATTCTTAAGCTAAAATGTGGTTCTTTTGGGGTGGGCAAAAAAAGCATGTTTTTTTTTTTTACCATTGTTCAGATGCATTTAGGATGGCTCCAGGCAACATCAGCTGTTTGGCAGAACAGCTTCCCCAGCTGTGCTTTGACTGAGCATAAGTTGGACTAGCAGTCCCTGACTAAAAGGACTCTGTGACTCTTGGCCAGGTATTGCTTTATTCACTAGCGCCTGAGTCTCAGCTGTCAGTGTGCTATGGATGCGACTTTCCTACACTTGTTACTTTGGGAAAATTGCAGTATGAAGCAATCAATCCTAGAAATTATTTGAGGGGTTTATTCAAATACGGGTCCCCCCCCATCCCAAAAATATGACGGAGTGGGGTACTGGGTCAGCTTTTCATTCTGGTGGGAGGGCAAAACTAAATCCCATTGTGATCTACAAATCCATTTACCCACTGTGACTGTAAAATTGTCGACATCCATGATTATTTTGATCAAGGATTTGGTGTGATACTTTGCACCCAAACCTATATATACACACCTTCTCCAGAGTAATAAATCAGCAAGAAAGCACTTCCAATTCTCTGAGAAATAGTTCCTCATACTAAATATCTGTGCAGTTCCTCTATGATAGTCAGATGTGTTTTCAAATAGGATCCCTTGAATTTATCCCGATAGCATTAAGACTGTGTTTGATGCGCCAAAAGTTGAGTCCATCTTCCTCTGATTCTCACTAAAAAAGAGTATTTGACCACAAAGTATCTTCAACTGGGACAGAATCTTTAATCAGGAAAAAAATGTAGCTGCGTTTCCGGTTGAAACTACTTGTATGGAAATACAGATTATTCCACAGAGGTCCTTGAGCCTTATGTCACGCGAGTCTGTTTTTGATTCTCCCTTCTATATTGTTAATCACTGTATAATATGTGTACATTTCTATTACGGCCAGTATGTAGACTGGAATCATTCTCCAGTTACTAGCTCCCCATCAGCAGACTACATAGTAGAGAAAATATGCACATCAGTGATTTTTATGAAGAGGCTTATTCAATATCCACATATTAGTTCATAGGGCTCTAAATTTTATAGCTTGCTTTCCTGCTAGACTGAGAGGATTCTCAGCATCCCCTTCTCCTTCACCACCCTTCATTTTTCAGAGAACTGTTTTCTCAGCAACGTGCTAATCTGTTTTTCTGTAGATGAAAAATAATCATTGAATATGTTTCTAAAAAGGCCTACTTAAACAATAGTTTAAAGATAGTTTGTAACTGATGGCAGGTCTACTTTAAGGTGGATGACCGAAAGCACTTCAGTCATCCTTTGAAATCCCTTTGGGGGGGGGTAGGTAGGCCTCTGATTGTTGTATAAAATCGGGTGTTTGTTAAAATGTCAGCAGCTGAAGGGAAAGTTCAGTTGAAGTTCTTGGAGCCTGTCGCAAATTCTAGCATTTGCAAATTAATCCGGGTGATGCCAAGAGCAAACTTCCAATAGTGTCACCGACTGCTCGTGCGATGCTCTACAATAATAACTGTATCAGAAACTGTATTATTCAGCGTTTCACCACCTCTCCTTCCTTTGTAAATAGCAAATGAATAAAGGCAGCAGTTTGTCTTTAAGCATTTTTGTGTATGTGACACGAGAGAATGGGCACCCACAGCCAGTAGTTCAAATTGCAGATTTGATATTGTTTGAATATGGTTTGTGGGCAGGAGAGCCCTCTTTGAAGCCTAGACCAGGGGTAGGCAACCTTGGCTCTTTTATGACTCGTGGACTTCAACATGGCTGGCTCAGGAATTCTGGGAGTTGAAGTCCATGAGTCATAAAACAAGCCAAGGTTGCCTACCCCTGGCCTAGACCATCTGCAACAGTAAAGCTGTGGCAAGAGTTGTTGACAGCATCGGCATGCAAGACCAAGAATCAGACTCTGAATAGAACAACGGTTTCTGTTCTTGAAACTATCTTTGGATCAGTAGGTGCTGATCTACTTCTGTGAAGCTTAACCATCAGTATGTTTTGATTCCCAGATTTTCTTGACTTTGTAAGCTAGGTAGGAAATCACTTTTTAGAGGAGGCTTTATTGTAGACAGTTACTGGGTTTGCCTAGTAACTGTCTAGTATTGCCTAGTAACTGTCTAGTATTTGATAAGTATTCCTTATCAAAAATGAGGATGCTCATTTTTGATAAGGAATACTGGTAAGGAGAGATGCATCCTCTGGCATATCGGCTTATGTTTGCAAGGCTCTTGCCGAAGAATAGAAAGTGCATTGGAGCAGAAGCAACTGGCAACGGCGTCAGAGGATCCTGCAGTTTCATTTAGGAAGAAAAAGCACAAATGTGCGAACAAGCCTCCAGTTAGAAGGATGCACCAGCTCCACGAGTTATGTTCTGCAAGAACATGGACTAGGCCAAAATGAGATTCAGTCATCATCATACAAGCCATCATATTGTGGGATAAGATGGTTTATTTGCTTATGTCGTGGTTCCGGCAGATGAAACTCTTCAAAGAACTTCTATAGCAAGTGGAACACAGCCTTTTGGTTTTTTTGTTAAGCTGAGTTTAGGGCGAAACATTTGGGCGAGTCCAACCTGAATGTAACCTAGCGTAATTGTTTAGAGTGGGTGGGTTGTATATTTGTGGACAGTGAGTAGGGAGAGAGGAACTGAATCTTCATTTTTGAATGCTGGAAGATTAGGGCAAAAAGAGGAGGAGGCTGCTCATCTCATGCCGAGGCTTCTGGGATGCATCCATTTAAGGGAAAAAAATGGAGAACACTGTTTCTCAACTTCAGCACCTTTAAGATGGGTGTGGAATTCTGGGATTTGAAGTCCTCCCATCTTAAAGGGGCCAAGGTTGAAAAACATAGTTCTAGAGACTAGATACTTTCTTTCTGCACCATTACAGGTAATCCTTGACTTTCAGTTGCTTAGCAATCATTTGAAGTTACAATGGACCTTCCTGAAGGTAATTTATGACCCGGATTTAAAGTTCAGATAGTTATTCCCCCCCCATCACTTGACCGCTCTTCAGGTGCTTGGCAACTAGCCCACATTTATGGTTGTTTACAGCGTTCTATGGCTTCTATTAAGGACTGCCACATTTATTAAGGACCACCACAAAATAGCTCATACAACTGGTTCAGTCACAAGATACATCCACTTTACGACTAGGGCAGGCTCTATTATGGTCGTAACTTGAGGACTACCTGTACAGAACTGATTACTTTTCCAAAATAAGTCACCGAAAACTACTACCACTCTTTTTCAAGATAAAGCATCTGTACACAAGAAAACATTTTTGGAGAATTTATTTTTTTTAAGGTTTTTTTAATTTTTAGTTTTTCAGGTTTTTTTTTCTCTTTTTATTATTTTTTTTTAAAAAGCCCTAACTTCTATGGCTTCAAAGAAGCTTCAAGAGAAACTTATACACCATAACCTGTGTACACTTCTTTTTTTTTAAAGCAGTAACTAAATTTGCAATGCCACAATCTCTCTTCTGCTTTGGAGCTACACCAGTACAAATCTCATTTCTATTCAGACTTGAAATTACTTTTTTCTTTTGTTACATAATTAAAAAAACAAAACAACCACACAATTAAGTCTGCAAAATTCATTTTGATGCAAATCAGACAACATGGGCCAAAACATACACCTGATAAGACCAGAGAGCTTGGCGGGCCAACGACAACCCTCATTAATGTGTTTTTGTTTTCTGTCATTAGAGTTGTCCCTTAAAACTTTGTCACATTCAAAAAGAAAAAGAAAAAATAATAAAGAAAAAAAAACAAATAATCCACATTGCAACTGGTAGTCCAAGCACACTCATGCACTCTTTACATAAACATCTTTTTTTTTTTAAATTTCTTTTACACCTTCCTGGGATTGGAACCATATAATTTTTTTTTCCAGCACAATGCTTAAGGCTGTATTCTGTTTTTCTCTTTGCGTTGTTTGGGAAAGAAACTCAAACGCTGCACATATCTAAGCAATCCTATTTTAATGGAAGTTGCCCAAATCAAGAATTTTCCCTAGGACCTCCTGTATCCTTGTGATTCTAGCATTGGCAGAGGCACTGCTGTTAAACGAAGTTTATAAACTAAGACAAATAAAGTGAGATCATGTTGAGTTTTAGTCCCTGCTTTCCTTTTTTTTTATTTATTTCAAATGGCCACAAAAAACATTCATTCAAATAGGGCAAAGAAATTTATATCCACCTTGAAAAAGCACAAAAAAATTTAAGTGCCAGCTTTTGCAATAAACGGTTGGGTTGGGAGGATCCGCACCCACTCCATTCCCTTCAGAGTCATCTGCAGGGTTGCTATCGATTACGCAACCCCGAAAGGAGGGGGTTCAAATCTTAAAACCCACATTGGCGAGGGGAGGGGGGGGAGGGAAGAGGTTTAAATCTAGTTCTAGAAAGTGAACAACTTCAAGGCTATAAGGTGAGGAGGCAGTAACCCTCTCAATTATTAGGAGGGGTGAATGAAGTCCAACAGATATGATTTAGCACTAATGATGAGGTGTGTGGCGAATTCTAAAGTTGCACTCCTTTGGTCTGTAGCAGCACCCGCCCACCCAAGGGTGCTCTTTAGTTTAGCAGAGACCAAAGTATTTATCCCCTACCCCCTCCCCCTACTAACCCTGCCACCATTTCCCTAGCAGGCCACATCCCGACATTCCAAGTGCCGTAATTACAGCACAGGGTGAAAGACGAATAGTTTGGAGCAACACAGGGCCAACTGTCTTATCCCTTGGTAAAAAAATATATCTAAAGAAGTAAGGAAGCTGCACTGCTATTGTCACAATGCTGAAGCAGCTCGGACAGGTGTAGCTTTGATGGCTGCAGACCAGCTGTTTGTTTTGACTTGGTCAACCGGAAGGGAGAAGCGTGTACGTTCAATCCGGGCGTATAGGCCGCAGTGTACCCAGGCACAACTCTGTCTAAGGCCGGGGCAGACACGTAAGCTAGTGATGGAATACAAAGGGATAAAAGCATAAAAGCCAGACGCAGGCCTTATTCTAAAGCCATCTCCTTCCCTGGCAAGTTAGATTTTGGCTTGGCTTGGATGTTTTTCATAAAGAGGCCTGCAAAGCCTTTTGCTCATTTCAACACTAATAACAGTCATATTGGTGGTTCTGCTGGAGCCGATTCCAAGCCATCACCGAACTGGGAAGCTGGAAATGCGGACGGCTGTTGGGTTTTTGAGAAAGAACAGACCAAAACAAGTGGATTGTCCTTGCACAACGCTTCGTCAGTGGGCCTCCTCTCTCCACCCAAATAGAAGTTTGTTGCCACCTATTTAACTTCAAATGAAATTGGCAAGTACCCAGGTGCTGCGAGGGCCACCATATGGAACGATCTCACCTAAGTGATCCTGTCCATGTAGGTTTCACTTTGGTCATGAAAACGTCCCCTTCTTCTCCGCGGTTCTCTAACCATCGACGTTGGCTTTGGGGTTATGTTTGGCAGGCTGCCGTTCCTGAGATCCAAGACTTTTGCCCTTAATTCTCCCCCACCTGGGAGTGGGTAGAACTTAATTAATTTTTTTTAAAAAAATATCTAAAATTGGATCGGTTTTTTTTTCAAGACACAAATGCTGGTATTGCTACAAAAAAAAGTGCACTGAGAAATGAGGAAGTGTGTAAAATTATTCCCCCAGCCACCCTCCCCCCCCCCCTGCACGATACATTTATTTTTGCCTCTCGTGTTATTTGGAGTATGGGGACAAAGCTTCCCTTTAAAGGATGTCACCAAAGAGTAATTTGGCAGGGCTGGGGAAATTAAATTGGAAAAAAAAAAGGGAAATCAGGCAGACATGGGGGAAGGGAGGGTTTGTTGGGGGACATCCTTAAAACTCAAAAGCAGAAAAAAATATATATAAGCAAAACCATTTGCATCACTACGACGGGAAAGGTGTAGGGTGAGGAGATGCTGCGGCACGAAGGCCGAAAACGCCGTTTTTAAATTAACTTGAGACTGAAGCAAACAACAGAGAAGAAGAAGAAGAAGAAATACGTGCAGGGCTGTTCTCAGAATCATCACTTTGCTTCTTCTAAAGGTAAACAAGTAGAATTGATTCCCATTTTCTGTTTTTGTTTTTGTTTGTTTGTTCCAAAAGCTATTTGAAGAGCTCCAAAAGAGGGGTGGAGGACAAATAAAACTGACAAATGGAAGGAAAGGAAAACTGCTGCATAAATATTAATGCTGTTTTTTTCTCTCTCTGGACCAGGAGGAAGAGTGGGACACTTGAGCAAAGAAGTCCAACGTGCTTTTGCTTTTGCTTTTTCTGCCAGTGGCCGCCCCACTCCTCCATTTGCATCTCCTGGGAAGAAGGGAAAAGAAAAAAATGGATGGGGGAAGCCCCCCCCCCACATGTGCCTGCTAGGACAGTCAAAGTCGCCTGTGTCCCTACCCACCAATAAAACTCGAGTGGGAGAGCAGGTGGGGGAGACAGTGCCCCCTCCTATTCCATCAAGATCCATTATCCTTAGCCAGGAAGTAAAAGGAGGGTGAGGGAAACGCAGTCCCAATAGGATCCTGGCTTTGACCAACAGGAATATTTCACTTGTGGCGCTGGATAGTTTTCCTCTTCCTCCTCTTAAAGAAACAGCAGCACCTAAGGAGAAAGGATATCTGCATTGTATTATTATTTCAATGAAAGGAAATGACATTTTCCCGTTTATAAAATGTTAAGTTGAAAATGATTATTAGATTTTTATCCCACTTTTACATTTTATAAGGCGGCGAACGTATCGAATGTTCCTTCCTCCTATTTACCACACACAACAATCCTGTGAGGTGGGTTGCACTGAAGCAGAGCGAGTGGCCCAAAGTCACCCAGCTGGCTTTCGTGCCTAAGGTGGCACTAGAACTCACAGTCTCCTGGTTTCTAGCTGGGTGCCTTAATCACTAGGCTACGCTGTCTCTCTGACACTCTGACTTTATAGGTTTGCAGAGACAGAAAATCAAGGTATAGAGACAGCCAGAGAAAATCTATTTTTCATGGGCCTTGCCTCTATCAGACATAAGAAGTCCAGATAACCCTCAAGTCAGTAGTTCACAGAACAAAAGGATTAGCTGACCAAGGGAAATTAGCCCCAAACCAGACTGGGGTCCAAGCCAACATCTTGTGGGCAAACTGAGTGGGGCAATTAACTTAGTTTGCAACCGAGCTATCAGTCATCACTCATTAAAAGACAGCCTATGACTATCGTTAGATAATTGAGAAAGTGACCTTTTGACATATAACTGAGAATGTGGCTTCCTGAGCAATTTTAGGTCAAAGTAGTTCAGGTAATAGTTGATGGAAAAGCCGCTCTCTTCTGGCAGACAGGAGAGATGAGGCTGGTTAGATGGAGTAGGATATTTGTTTAGTATAAGCTTCAAAACTTCACCATGTTTTCTGGTCCTGAACCTGCTACATCGGTCATATTAGAGCCATGGCGTCTAGCTGGCTGCCATAATCCCAAGGCAGTCCTGACACACCTTCCTCTCCATCATCACCTTCCATTTTACAGTGTTTAATCCGAGCCGCAAAGGCTCCCAGCAGAACTAGGCCAGGTGAACCAGTTACTCACTTTGTGTCGTCTGCCACCTCGACCTCGGCAGGTGCCGTGATGGGGGCGTTTGAGTGGCCGGCAGTGGGGTCATCCGTGTTCAATTCCCCATTGGTAGAACTCATGACCTAAAAGAGAGCAAGCAGGTGAAGGACCAAGAATATCGGGCAGGGCTTCAGGTACAGTTGGCTTAGCGTCTTTGCAGCATCACAAAGAGGGGAAATGACCGGAGAGACAAAGCAGGCCTCAGACACGCAGGCCTCATGCTGCTAAAGTACACATCAAAACTTTGCTCCTTATCTTGGTCTGCTCCTGCAGAAAGCAGCCACAGGAAGGAAGGGGTGGGGGTGTCTGCTTGCATCCAGCCAAGCTTTCAAAGCAAAGGAGGCTGACTTTCAGAAGCCATTTGACATTCCATCCAACAGAAACCTGCCTCCAAAGGAAAATAATACAGATAGTCCTCGACTTACGACTGGTCGCTTAGCGGCTGATCGAAGTTATGATGCACCTCCAAAAGCTAATTACAACCTACAGTAGTGGCCAAAATTGTAGAAACCTTTTGGGAAAAGTGTACAGTAGAAATGCCACCTTTGGTTAAGTTTCCACCAATTTTTCTTCTAATTTCTTTATCACTGTAGCCTTGTTCACTTAATAATACTATTTTACATCGCTTTCTGGGTGGGCAACCAGTCAACTCTTTGCACCATTACTTTAATTTTATTACGTTTTACAAGCTCACTAAATGAAAGAACACAAAAAAACCCCAACCAACTTGATAGCGATCACATCACACACTGACAAACGTCCTCCTCTCAGCTTCAATACATGACATCAGTAATTGAATCCTACTGTGATCTGATTGGCTCATTGCCAAAACAAGATTGGCTCTCTAAACACTCCTGCTCATTGGCTACAATCAGATGAAGGAAAGCTACCTGATATCAACCTAAGCAAGTTGTGCTTCCTTTTTCTGGTTATTTGGCCGTAACTTTTCATAGAATACAGTACAGATAATTGAACAAACTTTGTTGCATTACATTCTTGATTAAATTATCTTTCCATTGATATATAATTTTATGGTACTACTAAAAAAAAAAGTGGTGTTATTCGCCATCAAACCTCAAAAATACACTTTTCCCAAAAAGGTTTCCACAATTTTGGCCACTGCTGTAGTTCTGAAGTTGAAGGCCAGTTTCTCCCCATGGTCATGTGACTGCATTTGGGCGCTGGGTAACTGGCCTGCATTTACGGTCGTTTGTGCGACCGTGATTTATAACATTTTTGTTGCAAACCAGCGTTTACTTCCAGCATCTGGCAAAACCTGGCCCATAGAGAACAATAAGTTTGCTTAACAACCTTGGTGTTCGCTTAACAACCACTGCAAAAAAAGGGGAAGTGAAATCATCCCTTTATGTGACGATCCACTCTACGGCTGTCATGACTTACAACCGTAATTGCCAGGCTACAGTCATAAGTCAAGGACTACCTCCTTGGATCCACAGTATCTGCTTATGTAAAGGAATACTGTACATTTGTGTGTGAGGTTCAGCATCTTTATCAAATGAGGTCCTTAATTTTTGAACAGCTGAAGTGGTATCAGGGCTAAAACTGGTTTCCTACACAATGTCATTTCATATTCAGGAGATTCAGAAATAATAGTTCTTTCCTGAACATGCTGCTCTCTTACTCCCTGGCCCAAAGCTGTTAGGTTTTACTTAATAGCTGTACCAATGCAAACCAGTTACATCCACTACTGGGGTTGCAGACCCAGTTTAATGTATGCTTTTAGTTGCTGGCTTATGAGGGTTCAGATTCTTGCATTAAGCGAAGGTTGGTGCCTTTTCACAGATGTGCATCAGACGGGAAAGTAATGCACACAAGAGCTTGGGAGGGGCAAAGAGGGAAGAGGCAACCATGGACAAAGACCCAGAAAAGACAAGAGTGGCACTTTAAGGAACATACTTAGCCATGAGAGCTAGAAATCCAGCACAGATGTAATTAGGTCAAATTTCCTATCATACAAATGCTGCCCATTTGAGAATCCCACCATTTAAAATCCGTCCGTTGTTAACAGATTGTTGCTAGTCTTACATCAACTATTTTGATTCTGTCATCTTTACCTGATTATTATTATTATTATAACTATTGTCTAATCATCATTATTTTAATGTGTCTAGTCCTCGTGGAGGTAGAACAGCCCATCAAGCAAGTTTATAAAACTGGACAGAGCACCTGGACATGAAGGATAGCTGCACCCAGCATGTTGGCTCACTGTGCTTTTTCCTGTTGCCCACAAATTTAAATGTTGGTACTATTCTTTGCCAAAAAGCTTTACCGAAGAGATACAAAGTACACATTAGACCTTGTTCTGAACAAACTTTGGACATTAAGGTGGAAATTAGATTAGAACCAATATTTAATTCAGTAGCCAGATGAGAATTCCACGTTGTAGAATCCTAGCCTCTTAGCACGGGCCTCTGTGCCGATTTTGTGGCTCTACAAAACCCAAATGAAACCCAACAGAATGTGATGAACATCTGCAAATCCAGGAATTTGGGTTTCCTTCATGGTCCTGGTGAGGGTTTTTTGCATCTCCAAAAGCAGATGGGTCTTGCACACCAACGACAGGCAGAGGAACACAAAAGGAATGCTTACTATACATATACATGTATATAATTTTTTCTAGATACTCTTACGGTTGAACTAGAATCCTCCCTTGCATTGAAGTGGCGCACGCGCACACACGCAAACACACACAGCAAAAACACAGGAACACACCTCAGCTTTAAGCATGATTTCTATTTCCTACCTACGTTCACGAGATTTTGCTAGTAGAGTCTCTTAATTTCTACAAGTGGGTTTTGTAGAAATTTGACCTACCAAGTATGGCTTTAACATTTTCTTCTTAAAGTTTGCAAGTGTTTATATACTTAAACTCCCGAGTGGTTAAGCTTCTTCCCTCTCCACCTTTTTCCTTCTCCCTCTTTTTTGTTCCTATCATTAAAAACGTAAAGCTCCCCTCCTGAGGCCAAACGAACCTGATTTCTTACAGGAATCATTCATTACGAAGAAAGGAATTTTCTTTACTTTTTTCACATGATTTTCGGGGAGCCAAGCAGAATGAGCAATGAGGAGAAAGGTGAGCGATCTAGTTCAAGGCAGAACAAACTGCATTTCAGCATTTCTGAAATGGTCCACGTGCCATCAAAACAGGACTGAAAAGCAAATTGGTGCCACGGTGGCTGGACCAGGGGGTAGTCAACCTTGGCTCTTTTATGACTCGTGGACTTCAACTCCCAGAATTCCTGAGCCAGCTAAGCTGGCTCAGGAATTCTGGGAGTTGAAGTTCACGAGTCATAAAAGAGCCAAGGTTGACTACCCCTGGGCTGGACATACAGAGGGTCACGGGGAAAAAGCTCAGAAGATTTCCACGGCATGGCTGGGGTCCGGCGGCAGCAGGTGGGGCACCCCCCCACACACACCTCCAATCTCCCGTCCCATCCCTCTCATGTACCTGAATGGAACCCCCAAGCCTGCTGGCTGCCAAGGCGGTTCCCAGGGTGTCCTCAGCAGGCTGCTGGCCAGCCTGGGGATCCCAAAACTCGGTCCCCTCAGGTGACTGCTAATAACGGGAGGCAGGAAACAAAGGGGAAAAAATCACAGTAATCATTTTTTTTTTTAAAAAAAAAACGGGATTAGGGAGACAGAAAGAGGGGGGGATTTTGAAGACAGGTGAAGAAATGGGAAAAATAACCACATGCAAAAGCAAAAAGAATTTGAAACAGCCTAGAGGTGCAAATCAATATAGCATCCCTCAAATGTCATCAGCATGGCCGGGTAAAGAGATGGGCACGCTCCATTCTGGAGCGCCAACCGTGTTCCCTGCTCCCTTCGGAACCTCTTGAGTTTGCCAGAAGTTATGTTTGCCCCACCTATCCCACAGGGCCTCAGATTTGTGGTTCCTCGTTGCATTTGCATAAATTTCAATGTCCAAAAATATTACAGGTCAATTTCCCACCTCCGCGGCCTCCCACGCTTTGTTTACAATGGCTGCCTTTTCACAATCTATGTCAGCCGCTACCCCGGAGGGAGGGAGGGCAGGGTATTCCTTCAGTACGGCAGCAGTGCGCAACTGTAGATGCCCCTGCAAACAAGAAGCCGCCCTTCTGTTGCTGTGTAGTTTAGGGGGTCATTCAGCAACACACACACACACACACACACACCCTTTAAAATCCAGGATCGGAATCCACTGTCACCAGGCAGAGAGGATTAGCCACCCCGTTTCTTTTCGACCTATGCTTCTCCCAAGAGGCAGTCATAGGGAAGGACACACAGTGTGGAAAGTGGAAAATAGTCTCAGTCCTTACACAGTGCCTATTTTTGTTAAATCTTCTTATCCCAAATCCTTAGTTGTTGTTGTTGTTGTTTTAAATATATATATATTTGTCTGTTTCTGATCTCTGTTCTAAAAGAAGAAACCAAAGAGAGAAGCAACCTAGAACTAAGGAGAAACTTCCTGACAGTTAGAACAATTAACCAGTGGAACAACCTGCCTCCAGAAGCAGTGAATGCTCCAACACTGGAAGTTTTCAAGAAGAAACTGGACAGCCATTTGTCCGAAATGCTATAGGGTTTCCTGCCTGAGCAGGGGGTTGGACTAGATGACCTCCAAGGTCCCTTCCAACTTTATCATTATTATTATTATTATTATTATTATTATTATTATTATTATTATTATTATTATTATTATTATTATTATTATTATTATTATTATTATTATTATTATTATTATTATTATTACTTCTTTTAGAACAGAACAGCCTAAGAACCACCTGCTGGGTCAAGTCAAGGCTCACCTTAGCTCGGCGTTTTGTTCACCACAAAAGCCAACAAAGATGGATCTGCAGCGCCTACAAAGAGGCGACCGAGACCTGCTACTCTAACACGGCTGTCCTCTACCTGGGATTTGAAGGTATGCAGTCCCCAGACCAGATGCAACGTGGAGTCTCCAGGCCCAACAGTCCTTGATGGACAATGAATTTACCCAATCCCCTTCTAAAGCCAACCGCCAGGGTTTTCCGGTGGGCAGGGTCCAGGAGAAGAGCCTTCTCTGCCATTCAGCCTGCCC